AAGAAGAAGAAGAAGAAGAAGAAGAAGAAGAAGAAGAAGAAGAAGAAGAAGAAGAAGAAGAAGAAGAAGAAGAAGAAGAAGAAGAAGAAGAAGAAAGGTTCGTTCGTAATTTGGAGTGATAAACCGTCTTGAAACGGGCATACATACATGAGCGTTGGGGACTTCCCCCGACCGAGCCGGCCTGTTCAGGATTCACCGGCGCCTTCCTGTCCTGTCTGCTGGCGGGAGTCCAGCGCCTCCAGCGCCGGGGGGGCCGCCCCGGTCGCCGGCACCAGTACCAGTACCGCAGGGCGGGGCGGAGTGGCACGCAGTGTACAGACAACGTGCGACGACTCGGCGAGGCCGGGGTAGCCAGGGCTCCGCGACAGTCTGTGGTGATCATCTCTAAGCCCACTCCGAAAACCTCTGTGTGAGACAGTCTTGCATCTTTTGGTGTAGTGCCAAAGTACCAAACTGTCCTATAGCTTTTAGTGTGCGGCACACTACTGCACCACACTGCGACTCGAACTGCCGACGCATTCAGACTTTTTTTCTCTCAAGCTTTTTTGGACTATGTTCGGCATTGTCCGAGGCATTCGGACAGTCCATGACGAGTTCTCGTCTTAGATGGTAAGGCATGTTGCGTTATATGTTTCTTTAAGACAGAGTTCCCTGTCGGAGGCGCTGAAGGGAGTCATCACGGACTCACTGCGGCCGGGCCGCTGCCGCTACCGCTACTGCCAACGCCCCGAGCCCGAGACGCGGTCGCCTACCCCCTCAACCCTCTCCCTCCCCCCGCCCCCATGCTCCAGCCACCCCTCCGCGTGCTCTGACCGAGGCTCGCCAAGGCTATCCAGAAGCCGGCTGGAACTGAGGCGGGGTAAGGCGGGGTTGAGAGAGGTCGGGTCCAGGCCAGAAGTCTTTTTGAAAAGTTGGCATGCGGTGCGGATCACATTGATCGAGCGAAACAACCGAAAAACATCCGTCCGTCCGGGAGACACGTGCAATTGGTGGTCCATTTCAGCACTGTGGTGATGGCATGTTGGCGTGGATCTTTTATCCTAACGATGTGGAAACTCGTTTATTATTTGTTTTCCAATGGACAAACACTAACTTAATTATTCTGATCAACATTCAAAATTCTGGCGACGGTGACTGTAGTATGACCACAGTCCATCACTACGGGTTTACCGGAGTGATATGTCTCGGCTTAAAAAGTAAAGTTCGGCAATTTATCGTTGCCCAATTGAAGCGCGATGTTTGTTTTCGTCGCACGTGCAAGTTATTCCAGTATTTTTTCATAAAAATGCTAAATGCTTCTGATACCAGGGCTTGCCAATTCTGTTCTGTCTCTTTTTATCTTTTCCCAAATTAGTAGTTTGTTGGCAGTTATGCCTCGAAACCGATCGATGCCGCTCTCACACATATGCAAAATTTGTTAATTATGCTTGTAGCATTATGTCTGATGAGCCAGGTTTGGACGTCGGGCGTCTTCCCCGTGACACAAGTGTCACGTGCACGGTGGCACGGTCACGTGTTTGACCAGTCGCGTCGCCGTCAGGGGCCGACTTTTTGCGACATTCTCCAGGCTGTGATATTGGTTTGCCAGCTAGCACGCAAGAATCCGGTATAGTATAACCAGAAAAAAAGGAAGACGCAGATCCCCAGACTATTACGAGGATCGACTCACGAGACCAAATTCCTTGCCGAATTCACCTATAGAGAAAACAATCGAAATGTATTATTGTTTTAGGCAAAAATCCTGTCCCTAACTGC